CACCACTATGTCTGGAAACAAAGGACATTGTAAGTTGTAAAGTGTAAAAAAAAAAAAAAAGGTGTATTCCAAGTAGCCATTAAACCAGTGAAATGCTACTAACAAAGGGAGTTACAGAGTCCTTCTCTGTCCCCAAGAAATTAAAATAGTATTGAGCAGATGACAGTAACACAGAGAACCGTGAATTTAGGCGGGGTTGTCTATGGTTCTGCCCATAGCTACTGATAAATGTGAGTTACAGAATTGAAGGCCAGTTTACAGTGCAAGGAAAATTAAGTGAACCTTGAAGAATAATAAGGACTTATAGGAGAGACTGAGAAGTACTTAAGAAGGAGACACCTGGGTGAAAACCACAAAGGTGAGAACAAAGATATTCACTATGAAAAAACTATGTACATCATTAAGGACTGTGGATGCAGGAGGCTTGGGCTAGCAGGCCAGAAAAAATATATCATTATAAATGGACTGGAGATGGCTCAGTGGCTAAGTACACCCATGTGGTGGCTAATAATCATCTATAAGTCCAGTCCCAGAGGATCTGTCACCCTCTTCTGGCATTCCTGGGCACCAGGCAAGCACATGGTGTACAGACACACATGTAGGAAGAACACCCATACACAGAAAATGAAACAAATGAAAACATCTAAATTATTATAAAAAGAAAACTGAGATGCAGAATAACTTGGGACTTAAACATATCTATTGTAGCGTGCAGGTTACAGTTTAAGGGTCCTAGATTAGCGCTGGAGGTCATACAGGCTAGCTGGACACTGGCACAGGTACAGAAAGACTATCCTGCTATCTGGTGTAGGAAAAATGTCAAGACTTGAAATCTGGGCCTAAGTAATCACTTCCCAATCAAGGGAATCACTGTCTTCTAAGAAGGGTGATGTGCCCAAGTCCTCACACCCTGGGCTGCAACAACCCTGAGCCTCATACCAGTGCCTTTCACCCAGGCACAGGAAAAGGGGGGCAGCTCACAGTGCAATAAGTGTGTGTGCATATATATATATAAATATATGTGAGTGTGTACATATATATGAACATATATATGTGTGTGTGTATGTATGTGTGTATATATATATGAATGTGTGTGTGTGTGTGTGTGTGTGTGTGTGTGTGTGTGTGTGTGTGTGTGTGTGTGTGTGTGTACACGTTCATTCAGTCAGTTCTGTTCCTGTTCCCCTAAAGAACCCTGGCTAATACACTGACATTTAGTAACAAGTAACAGTTTCAAATCCAAGGCCCAGACTCAACCAGTGAGTAAACAAACAGAAGGAATCCCTGGCAGCCATGAGCAGCAGCAGCTCCACCGGAGCAGCCCTGCAGCCTGCACCCAGCAGAAGACTGCAGGGACTCCTTGATTAAATGGAGCTGAATCACTTTTCTGAGCAGCTCACAGCAAATCAATCAGTATAAATCATAATTACAGCTATCACTTATTAAGGGATGTATTATGCACCAGACACGTGGCATACTGCACTACCTAATCTGACCTCATAGAAACCTGAGAAGAAATCAATCAGACTCAGCCAGACTCAGTCTCAGTCTCAGTCTCTCTCCCTCTCTCTCTCTCTCTCTCTCTCTCTCTCTCTCTCTCTCTCTCTCTCTCTCTCTCTCTCTCTCTCTCTCTCTCTCTCTCTCTCTCTCTCTCTCTCTCTCTCTCCTCTCTCTCTCTCTCCCTCTTGCTCCTTCCTCCTCCCTCCCTCCCTCCTTCCCTCCTTTCCTCTCCCTCTCTCTCCCTCCCTCCCTTCCTCCCTCCTTTTCTCTTCCCTGCATACCAACTCCAGGACCTAGGTGCTCACCTACAAGCTAGGTGAGTTCTCTGTTGCTATGTTAGATCCAAAGCCCTTCCTCTAGATCAAATGAGGGAAGTGGGAGTCAGAGACTCTAGGTGACTATGCAGGGTGCCCCAGTGAGGCAGTAGCAGAACAGGGGTCAAATCAATGTTGTCTGCTCTGCCTTTGGACTTCAGCTGTGGGAGCAGACAGCCCCCCTTTTCTTGGCCGTGGGCTGCCAGGAAGGTCCTGATTCCTCATATGCATCTTTCCTACCCAAGACCACTAGACTCCCACACACATCCCTTGAGTGACCTGTCTGCTGGCAGGCTTCCCTACAATCTGTCACCAATGATAAGCTTCTGCTTAAATGTTCCAGCTTAGGGACGTGCCTGCAGCCTGCACGCACTTCTCAAATTAAGGTGACTTAATTTTTAAAAGGACAAATATAGTTGAAAGTTAGTTACAGAATTACACTTTAAGGGTGTACAGAGGTATAGCAGACATTCCTAGCACGTAAAAGGTTCTGGGTTAGAGCCTTGGGAACAAAAGGGGAAAAAAAAAGATTGTACTTTAGGCAGAGAGCCAATTAATCCTATGTTGCTTTTTTCCTCTTTTCAAGATTTTAAATTTCACTTTATTTGTAAGTATATATATGAATATATGTATAACACCTGGTATAGGAACTAGTGGAGGCCAGAAATACCAGGTATCCTAGAACCGGAATTACAGTGAACCACATGAGTTCTGAGGACTGAACTCAGACCCTCTGCAAGAACAGTCAGTGCTCTGAACTGCTGAGCCATCTTTCCACCCTCTGTCCTGCCTCTTTTTAAGAAATACTGTAAAACCGCATCTCAGAAAAATATAATACAAACCTATGATTCGTGCTCAAGTGACAGACACATGAGAAAATGACCTCATTTTTATGGGCTACTTCTTCTGCCAACAAAAGATTCCCAACCAAATGTCTCAAGAGATATACTTAACCTTCCTAAAGGCCTAGGAAGTACAAGATGCCACCTGCATAGGGCCTGATAGGTTAATGAAAGCAATGGCCATAGGTTAATGAAAGCAATGGCCGACGGTGTACCAGCAAGTGTAACAACTGGCTCTCACATGAGAGAGTCCCAGTTTGGTGCCAGCCACAGGGGCGCATCCCTATAATCCCAGAATTCAGGAAGCAGAGACAGAAGATGGGAAAGTCAAGATTATCCTTGACTACCTAGCAAGTACGAAGTCAGCCTGGGTTATGGGAGACCCAGTGTCAAACAGGACATGTCTTGTGCTCATCTCTCCTTTCCTACTCTTGCACAGCCTAGGATCCCCTGCCTCTAGAGTGGTGCCAACAGCAGTGGGCAGGTCTCCCCCTCAATTAACATAACCAAGACAATCCCCACAGAGAAGCCCACAGGCCAGCCTGCCCTGGACAGTCACTCCCTGAGAATCATGAGAATCGGCTCCCCAGTGATTCTACATTGTGTCAAATTAACTAAAGCTAAACATCAGGGGTCAGAAGCTGAGAGCACTCACTGACCTTGCAGAGGACCTGAGTTTGGTGCTCCACATCCCCATCCATAACTCCAGGGCCTTCTCAGTCACCTGCACTCAGTGCATATACCAACAGACACATGGTTTAAAAATGAAGAAGAAAAGCCGGGCGGTGGTGGCGCACGCCTTTAATCCCAGCACTCGGGAGGCAGAGGCAGGTGGATCTCTGTGAGTTCGAGGCCAGGCTGGACTGACAGCCTCCAAAACAGAGAAACCCTGTCTCGTAAAAAAAAAAAAAAAAAAAAAAAAGAAGAAGAAACACTACCTGTACTGGGACTAGCCCACATCAGCCGAGGAAAGGGCATATCCTCTTTTCTCTTTTATGTTCCATTTGTCTTTCAAGACCAGTGTCAGGTGGCTCCTTTTTGGGCCAGTGACTTGGCTCAGCAAAATTAAAGATTCTTGCCACTAACCCTGAACTTGATCCCCAGTACCCACATGGGAGAAGAAAATGGACTTGGGCAGGCATGTGCCCTCTACCAACACATAGATGTAATAAAATAAGATGTTCCCTCTTTAGGGAATTCTTCCCCACTCCCCACAGTTATTACTCCCCCAGTATTTTTTCTTATAAAATTTTATTTTCCCACTATAAAATAAATGTTTTTATCAGAGAATATGAAAACATTCAATAACAGGGGGGAGGAGGAGAGACGGGGACCCAAAACTCTTGTGCTGTCCAAAATCACAATGTAGCCAAGGCTGGCCTTGAACTCCTGACTGTCCACCCCAACCTTTCAAGTGCAGGGATTACAAGGGTATGTTCACCACACACAGCTTCACAGTTTGGATCATGACTGTGCCCAAAGGCCCAAGTGTTAAAGGCCTTGTCCCCAGGGTGGTAGTACTGAACAACAGTGAGATCTTCAAGAAGTAAGGACTAGCTGGGCCCGGTGGCACAAGCTTCCCAGATACTCCAGAAGCTGGGACAGAAGGATTGTAAGTTCAAGGCCAGTCTGAGCAACTTAGTGAAACCCTGTCTCAAAATAAAATCAGGAAGAGGAGCTAAGGATGCGGTTAGTGGTAGAAGACTGGCCTGGAATGTGTGAGGCTCTGGGTTTGTTCCCCTGTTGCACTCACCAAGAGACAGGGTCTAATGGGAGAGGTCTCATTACGCTCTACAAGGAAATCCTGGGAACACCGACCCATCTCTATGGCTTCCTAGATTTGGGGTTAGCAGTTGTGCTCTGATGTGCTCTTCACCGTGGCTACCCAGTATCCTCAACAGGGGCCTAAGCACGCTGGGTACCTCTAATCATGCACTGCATCTGTAAGACCAGGGGTCATAACAAGCCTTCTTTCTCTTCTTGATAACCACCTCGGGTATTTGCGATGGAGGCGCAAAGCTGACCAGAATGCATCGCTTACCCATCTTTTGCAGCACTGGCTTCACTGCCCTGCACAGTGACTGCTTATGGGGGAGCTCCTCCTGAGAAGAGAGCAGTGCTACCCACACCTATTACTGCCTTCCCCAAGCCTACCCAGCATCCACCCCCAGCATAACTTGCACCTCGGAGCTGCTCCCAGTTCACCCAGATGCTTCACTACAAGGCTTCTCTGCACATAAGGAAACTGAGCTGCTCACGTTCACACTCAGAGCTGGCTCTCTTCGATGTCCTAAACACACATTACCACTCTCCTGTCGGGAGCAAGGCAGACCCTTGTCCTTACCTGCATGCCTCTCATTTTCTGGAACCGTGCAATGGTGTCACTGAGGGTGTAGACTCGTACATGGCCCATGTGCAGCTTGCCAGAAGGGTATGGGAACATGGAGAGCACGTAGAATTTGGGCTTTGATTTCTAGGAGAGAGTGACAAAGGATGATAAAAAGTATTACACACTTTCGGGAAACTGTGCATACATTAATATTTTAGCACTTTATTCAAGGTAATAATTTAACATTTTAACAACTTCCTTAAAGGAAAAAAAAACCCTCCAGGCAGTGGTGGCGTACACCTTTAATCACAGCACTCAAAAGGCAGAGGCAGGTGGATCTCTGTGAGTTCGAAGCTAGCCTGGTCTACAGAGTGAGTTCCAGGACAGTTTCACAGGATTGCTTTTCCAGAAGAGCCTCTAACACAGAGACCTCCATAACTAGTCTCTTCCCCAGGTCCCCTTGACTGCAACCACCTGAGTCCAGTGTTGATAACAGGGTCTCCAGGCATTAGATGGGTCCTGAAGTCTCTCCTGTGCACTGTGTCAGACCAGGCCCCAAAAGAATGGCTCTGGTCACAGAGCTGCCTGCTTATGGGAGATCTGAATTTTTTGGTGCTTGTGGAAAATTCTGCAATGCTGAGGACGAGCTGAGGCCCTCATACACACTAGGTGAGTGCTGTACTTCATGTACAACCACAAGGATTGTGTGTCATCTCTATACTCACCGTGCTGCCAGTCAATAGGAATGCAATAACTCTTTTTTTTTTTTTTTTTTTTTTTTTTTTTGGTTTTTACAAGACAGGGTTTCTCTGTATTGTTTTGGAGACTGTCGGTCCAGCCCGGCCTCGAACTCACAGAGATCCGCCGCCTCTGCCTCCCAAGTGCTGGGATTAAAGGCGTGCGCCACCAATGCCTGGCACAATAACTCTTAAATGAATGCTTGTTGGCCTTGGGGAAGCACCTTCTAATAAAGACACAGGCGTTCCCCCCAGCAGACTTTACGAATCATGTCCAGGTAACTGGAAGCTCCCCTAACCAAGCCTCAACTTCTGCCATGGGGCATCAGGTGGTCAATGAGGAGGGGCTATCTACTGTCACACTATTGCTAATTTCGGCCTTCTGGCTCTCCCTTTTTGGTCCCTACTTCTTCCAAGAGCTTTGGGAAACATCAAGGTTTTGCTTCTCCCAAAGCAATGAATATAAACACAGACAGAAATTCACAGCCCTTTCTGTGCATGTGTGGGAGGTAATGTTTTAAACGTTGTTGGCTAGTATTCGCAGGACTGGTGATGGACAGAACCTACTTACGCTGGTTAATACCAATTGAAGCTGGGCATGGTGGCACACACCTTTAATCCCAGCACTTGGGAGGCAAAGACAGGTGAGTTTCTGTGAGTTCAAGGCCAGCCTAGATCTACAGAGTGAGTTCCAGGACAGCCAGGGCTACACTGAGAACACCTGTCTCAAAAAACAAAACTAAAAAACCAACTATTAACCTGACAGGTTCTAGAATCACCAAGAGTAGCAAAATTAGGGCATGTTAGTCAATATGGTTAACGGAAGACCCAGCCTAAATGTGATTAGTACTGTTCCATGGGCTCAGGTCTTGAACTGGAAAGGAGAAAGACAGCAGTGCATTCATCTGTCTTTGCTTGCTTAATGCAGATACAATATGACCCACTGCCTTCCCCTCATCTAGACCGTACTCTCCAAAACTGGGAGCCAAAATGAACCCTTCCTTCAGTTGCTTCTGCCTGATATTTGACCACCACAACAAAAATAACACAACTTGAAACAGGGAAGCAGAACTAGAAATCAGAGTCCAGCAAGGTGTGCTCTGTTTGTTGGTTTACTTGGTTGGTTTCTGGAACAGAATTTTGCTATGTAGCACAGGCTGGCCTCAAACTTGCAGCAACCCTCCTGCCTCTGCCTCCAGAGTGCTGGGACTACAGGTGAACATCACCATGCCATGTCCAGCTTCTTGCTAAGTTCTAAACTTCAGCAAACGTTTTAAATCTTTAGCAAAACCACAAACAATAGCTAACCACCCTCCAACCTCCCCCCCCAAAAAAAACACAAAGCACAACTTTTCTCTGTCCTGTCCGTCCTCTAGAAATGAAAAAGGTAAGTAGGTAAGCAACACCACCTGGAGAAAGAAACACTTTTTAAAGTTTTTCTCAGAGTCTGGAGAACCACTAGAAGAATAATGATTTTAAATAAGCAGACTGGCAGGCAGGGAACAGAAGATCTCAAGAGTCAGGAGACCCTGAATAGAGCTCATGTGCACTTAGGGACTTCACTGCGTAAGAAGACTCGGTCAGCCCTGGGGTTTGGCTCCGGGACACAGTACTGACCTAGCCTGGACAAGCTCACGGACTTCATCCTTGACACCGGGGAGAAGAAAAGGCAAGTGACAGAAAATCCTTTCCCCTTGTGAACAAGTTCTTACGAAAAATGAAACAGCTCAGTTTCTACCGAGTGCAAAAATAAAACTGTCTCCATTACTGGACCCTTTCTCTACCTGCAATAGGTTAGACCCCATTTCTTTTCTTTGGGAATTCTGAGTACTACAGGAAAAGATGGTAATCACGTGGGGACTAGAGAGATGGCTTGGCAGTTAAGAGCACTGGCTGTTCTTACAGAGGACCTGAGTTCAATTCCCGACACCCACATGACAGATCACAGTTATCTGTAACTCCAGTCCAAGGAATCCGATATTCTCACACAGATTTGGATGCAGGCAAAATTATCAATGGGCATAGAGTAAAAGTAAATAAATCATTAAAAAAAAAAAAAAAAGACTGGCCGGGCGTTGGTGGTGCACGCCTTTAATCCCAGCACTTTGGAGGAAGAGGCAGGCGGATCTCTGTGAGTTCGAGGCCAGACTGGTCTACAGAGTGAGTTCCAGGACAACCTCCAAAAACAATACAGAGAAACCCTGTCTCGAAAAACCAGAAAAAAAAAAAAGAAAGAAAGAAAAGTAATTAAATCCTTTACATATACATTTGTAAGGCTTTTTGTTTTCTATGACAGGGTCTTGTTTTGTAGCCCAGGCTAGCCTCAGGCTTCTTGAGTGCTAGGACTGCAGGTCTGTGCCACACCTGGCCTATTTCTAGTTTTTTGACTGTCAAGTTATTATGTAAAGCAATTTTCTCTTATTATAATCACCCTATCTTCTTGTACTATTTATTATATCATATTATCAACCTTGCTCAAACATTTTCTACACACAACTTCTCCACATTTTTGTACACTTGTTCAATGAAGATTAAATTAATTAAATTAATGGCAACATCAAATAATTCATCACACACTAGCTGAACTCCAAACCTGAGTTCATAAGAGATATGCAGAAAAGCAATGCCACTGAGTCTTGATACTCATGAACATTTCTTTTTCTGCAGAAAATATATTCAGCCCACTGCCTGCCCCTGCCTTGTGCTTTTTTTTCTGTGTGAATTAAGTCATTTTCCTCTGTGACAATGACATGAGTTCTATCATCTGGAGGTGGAAAAGAGAGAAGAAATGACAGGAATTTGTGTTATAATTGAGCAGGAATCTGACTGAAAGGGGAATTTTCATAATTACATAAAAGTGCAGGGATTCAAGCCTTTGAGAGAAAGTAGGAACACCAGCAAGGGGAAGAGGATGGTTTCTAAAAGCCTGCCCCATGCTTCCATCAGACTGTGATTTAGAACATGACTCCTCTCTAAGGCTGTAACACTGTCCCCACAGGCATGCAGGGCCTCCAGTTCTGACCCTCACTTTGCTGTGAGATGTGAGGTCTCAGACAAAATCCCCGTGCCTTCCTAGGCTCAGTCTAGTCTCTATTGATGGCCGATACAGAGTGTTTGCAGACAGGAAAGCTCTGGGGCTTTCATGACTTTGTTAAATACTGTATCTTTCTTAACTCCGGATTGTCTTTCTACACAGTGTCAAAACCGCTTCCCAGGTGAATATGAACAGCTCCCACCCTCACAGCAGGAATGAGTGTGACTCAGAGAGTGTGGAGACAGGAAAAGGCGGGTCCAATACAGTGCGAACTGTAAGCACAACTCAACTATTCCTGGCCCCGCCTAATTAATCTGCAAACATCTCTACTGTTGGATTGCTACTATTACAAAGGGATAGTCAAGATAAAAAAAAAAAATAGGAAAGTCTTCTAGTGTTTTCTCTCATCCAATTATAACAGGAGACACAGAACATTCCAAAAAAATTAACGACAGCCAAATACATGACACCACTGAATTGGCCAGAGGGCTGGGACCAGAAGCCAAGGTCCCCTGACCCACTGAGATGCTGCAAGGCTCGACCCAACTTCAGATCACATCAAAGAACAGATCAGCCTCCCTCCTCAGACTGTGATGCTTGAGTAGCAGGCAGGTTGTAGGCCAAGTCTGCAGCAGAAAGGGGTAGACACTTCTCGCCTCATACAACCTCCTGATAGATTCCCAGGCCTCTTCTGTAATTTCACATGAGCCCTGTTAGATCCATGGGTGCCATCCTACCACACAAGGGCCAAAAAGGACCCAGTGCCTGCTAGTACTTCTGTTTAGTTCAGTTCCCCCCCTGATCAAAGTATCTCCGAATATCACTATGGGGGCTGTCTGCCACACAACCTCGTACAATACTAACACGGACACAAACACCACACTGGAAAGGTTTTTGCACCCTAACCTCACATCACCTCCTTTGCTCAACAATCCTGGGAAACAAGCGGGTGCTATTGTCACCCTCCGTTTTAGATGCAAAGAAACTCAGTAAATATAATTTATCCTAAATCAAGCAGTGTGAGCCCAGAGTCCCAAGTCCTTAGTTCCTCTTCTCTACTGATACGGTCTGAATGTGCAATATCCTGCACAGGACTGTGTGTCTGCACACTCGTTCCCAAGCTGGTGGTGCCATCAGGGGAAGTTGTAGAAGCTTCAGGAGGTAAACTGAGCCTGGCTGGAGGAAGTGGGTCACTAAGGTGAGCCTTGAGATCCCACTTCCAGTCTATTCTCTGTGAGCGGCTGCCTCACGTTCCTGCCAGACCGCCAGGCCTTCCCTGACATGCCATGATGAACTTTATTCCCTCAAAGTGCGAACCACAATGTTTAAGTTACATCTTGCCAGGGGTCTGGCAACAGCAACAAGGAAAGTAGCTGGCATTATCTGCCCTCTCAGAACACTCACGTCGGCTTCTGAAATTCTGGACGCCTGCTCTTTCATCCTCTGATGCCACCACTTCTCAACATCTTTTCTCGTCTGCAGTGTGTACTCCTTTGTCCACTTCCCTGTGGCACTGTAAATACTTCTGGCACACCCTGGAATTGTTCTTCTCTCCCACTGGATGACAGGTGGCCCGCAGATGAGCTGCCTTCTCAGAGGACAGCCATAAAAACGCAGCCTCTGACAAGCTGATGCCATTCTTCAGGAGAGAAGACCCTAAGAAACAGGAAAGAGGAACATGACATGCGCCACCCAGAACTCTCTCGGGGTTGGTCTTTCTGGTCAACACAGCCCAGCATTTACTGCCTGTTCATATGCTTTCTCTTCTTCCTTTGATAACCATTTCCTAACAAAACATTTTAGAAGCTCTGTTGAATTAGATACAAACTTTTTATTGGTGAACATAAAGGCAATCTGGGCCCTAAATACCAAAGATACAAAACTCTCACAGAAACAAAGGGAGTCTATCGCAAAGGCCAGTTGCTACAGAATTTGCAGGCAGCATGGGAGGTGGCTAAGCTCCTCCCCCCTGAGCCTATCTAGTCAATCAACCGCTGTGTGTGCGTCTGAACCCAAGACCTCTACGCACATCTTATCTTAGACTTGAGCTCAAGTATCAGAAGGGATCTCAGCAGAGGTCTCCCAGAAGGACCAGAGATTCTGAAGTTAGCATTTTTCATTATATTAGGTCCACACACTGTTCCAAGCACTACAGATATAGCAACAAAGAGTCCCAGGCTGAAAAGGCAGAATATGCACTTAATGTATGTGAAGATCTGGGTTCCATCCCTAGCAAACAAAAACAAAGGACCAAGTGCCTTCTTTCATAGCATCTAAACATACAGAGAAGCAGGTAAGACACCAATAAACAGGAGGTAGCATGCAGCGGTGTTGTCATATGTAACTCTTTGGATTTCAACACCGTGGGGTCCTGCAGTATAACCACCTGGGGTTCAAATCTGAACTCTGATACTTCACTGGCCTCCTCCTCAGATGAACAGCGCAAATGGCCTTGGTGGAGAACTTTCCTACTTTCTCCCTTTTCAGGGGCTGGGGTGAGATTCCATCAAACATTTAGGATACAGCACTGAACATCCAAAACTTTCTGCCTTCTTCTTGCATAAAATAGCAACAGAGAGGTAAAAAGACCTTCCAAAGACAAGAGAGACGAGGAAACCTGGCATTCCAAACTGGTGTCAATCATGTGATTCTCTCCGAATCCTTCCCATAGCTACTAGGGTTTGGCCTGTCACACGAAGGCACTGGATCAGATGTTGCCGGGAGGGTTACTGCAGGCTCTAAAAGAGGAATTCATTCTCACATGACATGGTACTGTAGCGCTGGCTTTGTTATAAGCTGACCTGCCCAAGTTCTTGACATACGAATTCCCACTATTTTTAACACTTCTTACTCTTTTAGGGCTAGAATAAGTGACAGGTTGGAAGGGGTAAGATTCCCCTATCAGTTGGGTTAGCAATTCCATATGCCCTTCCATATAAGGAGGGCAATTACATTTCTTTTTAGGGCTTGGGATTCTATATTATTAGAACTAGCTATGTGAATCAGAGACTCTATGATTTTCTTCTGTTTTTGGTTGTGAGCCTAGCCTTTAATGGCAAGGACATCTCTTCAACCCCATTTCATGGTTTTCTTTCTGGATATTCCGAAATCATTATGAGCTGAAGACTGTCTTAACCGAAGGCACCTAGACAGATATCTGACATTTCTTTCCGAGGTGGCACATTAGGAGAATATCCTAGGCTACTCTCTTTCATAAATAGGACTAGGATAATAAAATACAAACTGACCTGAACCACTGTTTGCTGTATTTTGGGATTTGGTGATTACCCACCAGGATGGATAAAACACCAAAGAGTAATCACCAACAGGCGCCGTATGAACGCACAGTAACTCTCTGCTGGCTACACAAGACATATGGCGGAGAAGAGAACCAGCTCCTGGAAGCTGTGTCCAAGGCACACATGTCCACAAATAAGTAAATGTAATTAAAGTTCATAAAGAAAAAAAAATCCCATGCTGACTAGGAAGTAACGGGAACTGTCTCTGTGGCTTGGGTGACTCAGTGGGCAAAATGCTTGCTGCATAAGCATGATGACCAGAGTTCAGATCCCCAGCACCCATGTAAACAGCCCTACAGGTGTGATAGCACATATGCTTGTATCCCCAGCATAGGGAGATGGAGGTTGTAGAAATAGGAGGACCCCTGGAGCCTGCTGACCAGCCAGGTTAGCTAATCACTGAGCTCCAGTTTCAGTGAGAGACCCTGTTGCAAAAACTACTGTAGAGAGAGATAAAAGATACCTATTACTGGGGGTTGTATAAGAGCACTTACAGCTCCTACAGAGCACTGACAGGGTAGTTCACAACCATCTACAACTCCAGTTCAGGAGATGGAATGTCTCTTCTGACTTCCGAGGGTTCCTGCACACATATGATATAGAGATATACACTCATGCACACACATATACATTAATAAAATAGTACACATAAAATTAAAACATTAAAAACCCTAACATTGACCTCTGGACTCCATATGTGTACACTAGTGCACGCACATAAGTACATCCAAAAAATAAAAATAACAGGATTTCACTCTTTGGCCCAGCCTGTCCTCCAATTCTCTATTCTTTTGCCTCAACCTCCTCAATGCTGGGGTTATATGTGTGCCACCATAGCTGGCTCTGAAAATGACTGATTATTCAATGTATTTGAGAAAAATTTAAATCAGAGCTCCACTTCAAACCATAAACTGGCATAAATCCCAATGTTTTAGGGGGAAGTGGGAATTTTAGACAGGATTTCATATTGCCCAGGTTGGCCTTGAACTAGCATTGCAGACAAGGATAACCTTGAACTCTTGCTCCCTGCTCCCCCTGCCTCTGCCTCCCAAATGATAAGTTTATAGGCACCACACACCATCAAACTTAAATAAGATTGTTTTTTTAAATTGTCACAGATAATCAGTCTTACTCCAAAACCATAAAGTATCTGTATACCAGAAATATGTAAATATGGTGGAACATGCTTGTAACTTCAGCACTAGAGAGGCTGTGACAGGAGGATCTTAAGTTCAAGGCCAGTCTGAGCTACACTGTTACACAGTGAGACCCTGACTCAAAAAAAAAAAAAAAAGAAAGAAAATTTTAAAAACTGCTAAAGAGTAAACAATTTGCTGAAGAACATTATTTGTTTCAAACTACAATGACGAAAGGTTATACAACTCCATAAATAGTTCACATATGAGAAGAGAAACCCCAAACCATGTTTAAAATAGGCAAAGGTATAGGTATGAAAGTATTGTTTAGTGGTAGTGTGCTTGCTTAGCAAATCCAAGGCCCGGGATTCAATCTATAGCACCAGAAAAATGGAGGGGGGGGGGGGTAGGGGGTGTTGATAAGACAGAATGAAGGCCAAAAAAATGAAAGGATCAACTTTACTATTAAAGAAATAATTATTTGTATATACTCCTAGTAGGAATGTAAATAGAGAAGACCTCTCTGAAACAATCCGGCAATGTAAGTACGGCAGGGCGGTTACGAATCGGTGATGTCTCACACCTGGAATGCCAGTAGCTTGGGAGGCTGAGATAGGATTGCCAAGACAAAACCAAGCATGATGGTGCACACCTTCAATCCCAGCACTCCGGAGGCAGAGCTAGGTGGATCTCTGTGAGTTCCAAGATAACCTGGTCTACAAAGCAAGTTCCAAAGCAGCTAATGCTGTTGTTTTACAGAGAAACTTTGTCTCAAAAAAAAAAAAAAAAAAAACCCACAAAACAAAACAAAAAAGTTCCAGGACAACCGGACAACCTGGGCTACCAGGAGGTGCAAGGAAGCTTGGGCTCTATAAGGAGACCCCATCTTTAAATATACAAACAGGGGACAAGAGAGACTGCCCAGGATCCCAGTTCAGTCCCCATCACCCACAGCAGGTGGCTCATAACTGCCTATGACTCCATCTGCAGGGAGATCTGACGCCTCTGGTCTCCACAGGCACCCACACTCATGTGCACAGACACACAGGCACATAATTAAAACCTTAAAACAAAACACAAAAAAATCCATTAAGAGAATCCAAGGGTCAGGCATATTAAACAGATGTTCAGCATATCCTTGGGTTCAATCCTCAGCAGCAAAAACAAAATAAAACAAATAAATGTGGTAAATATGGAGGCTTGGCAGAGTAACTCCCTGGCAACGTTTGAGGCCACTGGTTCCATCCCCCGCCAGTGCAAAAAATAAAATCCATATTCTGAGGCATAGGCCCAAGATCACCCTCAGATTCTTATTCATTAGAATGTACAGGGAAGACGTAGTCTGCACGCATACCTGTGAGTTCAGAGAACTTTGGGTTCTAACCCTGCTCTCTTTTTACTTCCTAGGCATAGTTCTGGGTCAGCTTCAAGTACCTCTCCCTGGAAGTCCTAACAGGCACCGCCTCTTCCCCTCCATCAAGAACATCTATTTTAACAGAGGGTGGTGTTGGGGACCCTGAATCTGAACGATGTGACTCGCGCCTTCCGTTTACAGTCAGCTTGGGCCCTTTCTTCCTTAGCTGTGGCTCATCTTACTTCTTTGTGTGCTGGAATGGCCGTCTCTGCTGCCTCTTTCCAAAGCATCGTCTCCAACCCCAGGGCTCCTCTTTCAGTTCAGCCCTGACCTGATCTCACTTTAAATGTGGGGCTTATTGTGGTTAAGGTAAATGAGAATATGAGGGACCTGAGAAATAGGCCCAAAATGATGGTCACAGTCAGGAAAACCCAAGGAAGCAGTTGAAGAACTGGAACACGAAGGAGAAGCACATAGAGCACCCATGTGCTCCCAAAAGACGCAGGAAACCTAATTAGAGGCAGAGGCAGGAGGCTTAGGAGGCTAGAGGGCAGCTTCATAAATCCCCGTTTCCAAAAAGAGGGGAGGAAACCAAGTTAGGTCAGGGAGGTGGGTGCACACCCATGATCCCAACACTCAGAAGGCTCAACAGGATTGATTCCTGGTTCAAGACTGCATATTAAGGGCTACACAGTAAGCTCAGAACAACCTGGAATGCACAGCAAGACCCGGTCTCAAAGAAACAAAGCAAATAACGTAAACAGACACCTCGACCCAGCAAAACATGTCTGGCAAAGCACAGCGTTAAAAGGCAGGTGCTAAGTGTGATTTCCTGCAGGACCTCAGAGGCAAGCCATTTCCTGTCTG